CAGGTAGTTAGAAGGTAGTTTTTGCAAGAAATACGGTGCTTTTCAAAAGTCATTCTAATGGAGTGTTTGAGCAATACAAATTAAAGGACAATTGCCCATTATAGCTGTTCTGATCTTGAAAGTAAATTAGAACATCTTGGTATTAGTTAATCACCCAATAATATGAATTTTTTGCTTCCAGTATTTGTGTGTGTTCTAAAAGTAGCAGTCTGAACTGTTCTCTCTTCTTGGCTGGATGTCACTTCTGTGCTCGTCACAGATGCATGTATATTAATCATCAGTTTTACTGCTGGTAATGGCTTAGACACTTTGAATGTCAGGAATTACATAGAGATGTTAATAAAGATCCTTAAAATGCCCTAGTAAAATAGCTTGTGATGCAAACTGCCACGTCTAGTGCAGCAGTACTGAGGAAAACCATGTTTTTCATATGCAGTTTCGTTGGTTTGTTTTCTTGGTTTGTACTGAGAAGTACATAATTCATGTCTAGAAATAGTTACGTTAATATAAAATTTGACCCTAAGTGTCCAAAAGTGTGCTTTATTTCTTCCCTGGTTGGAATCATTACCTCCATACACAACTGAGTACTTAGCAGAGCTAATGGGTTTCACCGTTAGACTTTTTAGCTACAGAATCTGTCACTTCTTTCCCTTGTTTCAAATAGATATGGACAGAATTAAGATGTTCCTTTCACATAATATAGAATAATATTTGGAGGATGATGAGAAGTTTTGTCCTGTTGCTAGCTCGTTTTTGAAAAACATGAGTTTATCTTTGTTTGTTTGTTTGTTTGTTTGTTTCACAGCCTTCTTTCTTCAATAACATATTCTCCCAAATCAGAACGAAAAACGCCTGAGCCCTTAATACCAGCAGACAGTGATAATGAAAAGGGTGAAAGGAATGGGAAAAAAGTCTGTTTCAGTGTGACAGGTGATGAACAGGAAGATTCTGGTCACGATACCATCAGTAACAGGGATTCTTACAGGTAACTTTACTAATAATATTTTTATTTGTCAACTGAATGAAACCTGGAGGTTTATATACTATTGAGTGTTTATGAAGACTATCAGAATATAGTGATTCTGACTTCTCCAGCAGAGGAATAACTAGCTTCAAGATGTGTAAACTAAGTATTTCTTTGAACAGATTAATTATTAGGTCTTAGTATCCCAAACTTTTTTAGGATATTGCAACAGGAGGTGAAAAGCCTCACTTTAGATTACCACTCTTATAAAAAACAGAAATAACTTGTGTTATTATGTCTCCAACAACAAATCAAATGTCTGCCGTGGAAAGCAAGATGACAGAGACACCACTCTTCCTGATCTAAAGAAAAAAAAATACTTAAAAAAAAATACAGTGTTTTTCAGCGTGTATTCCTTACCTTAGAATCATAGAATCATAGAATAGATTGGGTTGGAAAAGACCTCCAAGATCATCAAGTCCAACCCCTGATCCAACTCCAATTACTATAGCATGGCACTAAGGGCCACATCCAATCTCTGCTTATAAACCTCCAGGGATGGTGAATCCACCACCTCTCTGGGTAGGCTGTTCCAATGCCTGATTACCCTCTCTGTAAAGAATTTCTTCCTAACATCTAACCTAAACCTCCCCTGGCAGAGCTTGAGCCCATGTCTCCTTGTCCTGTTGTTGGTTGCCTGGGAGAAGAGACCAACCCCCACCTGGCTATAACCTCCCTTCAGGTAGCTGAAGAGAGTGATGAGGTCACCTCTAAGCCTTCTCTTCTCCAGATTAAACAACCCCAGCTCCCTCAGCCTCTCCTCATAGGACTTGTGCTCAAGTCCCTTCCCCAGCCTCGTTGCTCTTCTCTGGACCCGCTCCGGCACCTCAATATCCTTCCTGAGCTGAGGGGCCCAGAGCTGAACACAATACTCAAGGTGTGGCCTCACCAGTGCTGAGTACAGGGGAAGGATCACTTCCCTGCTCCTGCTGGCCACACTGTTCCTGATCCAGGCCAGGATGCCATTGGCCTTCTTGGCCACCTGGGCACACTGCTGGCTCATGTTCAGCCTCCTGTCGATCGGCACCCCCAGGTCCCTTTCTGCCTGGCTGCTCTCCAGCCACTCTGTGCCCAGCCTGTAGCGCTGCAGGGGGTTGTTGTGGCCAAAGTGCAGGACCCGGCACTTGGCCTTGTTAAACTTCATCCCATTGGAGTCAGCCCATCTCTCCAGTCTATCCAGATCCCTCTGCAGAGCCCTCCTGCCTTCCGGCAGGTCGACACTCCCTCCCAACTTGGTGTCATCTGCAAATTTGCTGATGATGGACTCAATCCCCTCATCTAAATCATCGATAAAGATGTTAAACAGGACTGGTCCCAGCACTGATTCCCTGGGGGACACCACTGGTGACCAGCTGCCAGCTGGATGCAGTCCTGTTCACCAGCACTCTCTGGGCCCAGCGCTCCAGCCAGTTCCTGACCCAGCACAGAGTGCGCCTGTCCAAGCCATGGGCTGCCAGCTTTTCCAGGAGTATATTATGGGAGACAGTGTCAAAGGCTTTTTTTTTTTACTCTAAATATTGTAGCATCAACTCACCTCTAGAATTCGTAATGCATCGCTTTTACTGTGAATGAAAATACAAAGAATTTTGAAAAGGAAAGAGTAATTATAGCAAGTGTGGTTCTTACATAGATTATATTCTGTTTCTTGGAACTGGTTAGCTACATGATCTAAAATCTAAATTAAAACTTTAGCTGCAAGTAAAATGAGGGTTTATTATTTGTTCATTATCATAGTTCATTATTATTCTCAGAAAGTAGAATCTCACTAGGGTCATCATTTTTCTACAGAACCGTGTGTTGCTGAGATCTGTTTCATAAGCTGATATTTGATTACTGCAGCCTGGTAGATAGGAACTCTTTGTCAGAGTAGAAACAGAAATATACACATAATTTTGAACAGAAAAAAATATAGAGATAATTTGCACAGACCCATCTTTTTCTTACACACAAGAAAAGTGCTGTTTCAGCTGGAGCCCATTGAGGGGTTTCTGCATGTCCATGATGTTTCAAACTGACTAAGCAGGAGCCGCTCCAGTGGTGTGTGCTTGCTCCCGTTGGGAGGTTTCCCAGGTGGCACAAGATCTGTATTAGGAGAAAGAAGGTGTGCCCCAGGCCATGAGTGCAAAATACTTTCTTTGTCCTGAATCCAGTAATTTATAGTCCATCCTGACTGTTTAGGAATAATAAAATCTATGGTTCCATATGCAGAATAATCATAAAATATGTGCATTTAGGACAAGTGTTGGAGTGAGATTAGACTGTTTTGTTTCTTTGCTTAAATAATTATAATAATCAATACTTAAAATCTCCAGATACCATAATGCCACCGTGGTTATTATTAGA